AATATGTAAAGCCTTAATTAGCGTTCCTGTGGTATTGCGACACATTTTGTTATCTCTCCCGAGTTATCGACTTTCGTTTGTTGACTCTCAACTTATTTCCACTTCCATAATTGAGCGATCGCATCAGATTATACAAAAGGTAAAAATAACGCTTCCCAGGCCTGTCGAAAGCAAAGTTACTATTCTAAAAGAAACATTCTACTATATCCTACGTCTGAATATTTATTTGCTACATTGTTCTACAATAATAAAATAAGTTGATATTTATAAGTCAGACAATGTAATATTTGTGTCGTTGCATTATTTTGTTGAGATGTCGGAAGCAACAATAACATCTGAGCATTGAGAATTATTTAGACGTGATGTCACGTTCAAATCAATCAAAGCATTCCTAATGTCAAGAAGGTCTTTTGCTGATGGATATGGTGTTGATGTATACACTCCGATCAATCGAATCCCTGCAAGATAATAACTATGTTTTTATAGCAATTGTTTTTTTAAAACATCACTTATTTTATATTGGTATGAATTGATCAACAATGAGTGGCATACCATTTCAGATATTATGTAGCAGTAGATGATAATGGCAGCTGTTATCTTGTGCATGACTGATTGCCCTGGCAGCACAATACTCAAAACCACATTTCAAAGTTTGACTTCGATTTCAGTTAACGCATTTGCTGTAACTTGAAACAGTTAATTTACAAATAAGATGCTTTACTAGTTTTCATAAACTTACGTTTGTGTATGAATAAAAAACTAATTCGTTTCTTGCCACTTCCAAATCATAAACAAATTACCATAAACACAATACCGGTCTCCTAACTAGGTTAAAAAACGTGACTGAATACGAGAGAAAGATTTATTTCGTCAACCAAAATACAAGCATTGAATCAATAAAAATTATATACAAAACACACAGTTATTCGGTATAGACTGTGGAGCGATACGACCATCACAGTCAGCTCCCCCCTGCCCCCCATGTTCGCTATCAAAATTGACAGTTGATTAAGATGTTTGAACAATTTAACACAAACTCCTTGGAGGAAGGGTTGACTAAGTTACGGAATATTTTTGGATTCGGTTAAAAATGTAGTCCATTATTAAACCACTGCTTTTTTTTTGTAGATTTTCACTTAGTGGACACTTAGCAAGTATAACAGTTAATTTATAAAAAAAAAATTGTAAACTAATAACAAATCAGTAGAAGTCAGCTCGGGTATTCAAACATGTGATGATTGAAGTGAGAAAAAAATTTGAAGTCATGTTTAGGATATTACATTAAACAACAATGGAAAAGGTACATTGGAATCAGTCAAGCTTCGAATGCTAATGGCATTAATGAAAAGAATATGCGAAATGAAGACTGAAGTTTCCATCTGAGACATTGGAAGACGCTAAAACCTTATAGACTTGATAGTGTGGAAAGCCTTCTCACAATGCAGTAATAATGGGACATATATTCATAATATCATTATACAGGCTTTAAGTTGAACTATATGTTTAATTGAAATATCTATCTTTGCTAATAAATGCTGAAAACCATTTATGCTGAGTGATTAGGGACAACAATTTGCTGTAGGGACCATTACCAGGGCTGGATTTACCAATAGGCTAGGCAGGCTGAAACCTAGAGCCTCGAAATTCGGTTTCGAAGTTTGTAATTCTTTTGAAAACTTGACAAGTTTGAACCTTACGAAAAGTATATATATATATATATATATATATATATATATATCAAGCTTTTCAGAGTAGAAAATTCTCTACACAACAGGTTTCAACCACATTGTAAACAGCCATTATTGCGTCGTTTGCATCATTATAAGGGAAATTATTATTATGCGCATTATGGAAGTTTCTATGTTAAAGTATGGCTGTAGCGGTAGTTTGATCAAAGAAATTGAAAGCAAAACTGCCTCAAGTAAATTTTTATTTTTTTAATTGGGGGAATGAATAGTTTAATGCACTCATATTTTTAAATTTTAAGCAATGACATGTGGTGTTGTTTAGAGAAAAATTCTGAGCTCAAAAATATGAAGGGGCCTCTCAAGGTCTAAATCCAGCCCTGAACATCACCAATTTTGGAATAGGTACATGGTGTCAACATATGAACTGAGTTAGGCCATTGGATTTTGAAAGGTGTATCAGAAATGTACATAGTTTCATGGAATTCATGAAATATATAACATCCAATAAAAACCAAAATAGGTCTTTCGTTGAACGCCAGTTGTGGTCCCGGTACCGGTATTCCAGTACAGTATTCTGTTATCACAAGCAGTTGGAGCGCATATCCCACGGAGCACGGCGCGTTGGCAGATACTCATGGTCTAGTGCAGGGGTTCTCAAACTTTTGGTGTTGCGGAGCCCTTGAAAGGTTGAATATTATTCGCGGAGCCCCAAAATAAATTTTAAAATTGTTACTTTCAGATTATTATTCCCGAGCAAGTTAAAAGTACTTTATTTATTCTAAATGCTGAACCTTTTTTAATAGGGTTAACACAAGTCATAAATAAATCTAAATTTTATACTAAAGCTGTAAATTTGACACTTGACGAACATATTAATAAATTAGGGATCGAATCTTTTCTTTTTTGACATTTTTAGAAGACTTAATTAAAAGGCCGTTAGTAACGTGCGCTATTTCATTTTGTTACAATCGCCGATGTTTTTCCGTCAGCATGGCGTGTTTTAAACATCTTTACGCCGCTGTTTATTCTCCCTAAATCAAAAATTTCCCTCGGCATATACATGTATTGTTACACAATGACGACGTTAATTGCTTTTTTGTTCTCGTGGGGAATTATGAGTTCAATGTGAAAAACATGTTACCATATTATAGTCATCGGCGACGAAATGCTAAAAATAATAATCAATAAAAAGGTAAATCCACAACTCAAATTTCTTGATTGAAAAGCGGCATTCTAAAATATTTATAAACTGAAACTTAAAATGGAAGATCACACTTTGGTTTCAGCAGACTCACCTCAGATTGAAAACGCTTCTATAGACATTGTAAATCACAAAATTTGGTGTTATGTTAGGTTTTCATCGTAGTAGCTGCGAAATCGAAACACAGTCAATTGTGCGCGCGATTTACCTTTTTTTTTCATTCTGAAGCTACCGACGCAGCCGCACGCAATCAATGGTGCGCGCGATCCGCGATGTAGGGGAAAGTGGGGAAGGTTGGGACACTTCTTTCTTTTGCATATTTCGAGCCGTTAATTCTGCATATTCTCTTACGTTTGCGGGACTAATGCATAGAGAGGTAAATGTAATTTTTATTCAGCAACAAAGAAATTCCCTTGCGACACACATTTTACTACCAAAATGCTTTGAAAAACGTCTGTCAAGTGTCCCACTGTACCCCACTTGTGGGGCACAATCGGACAGACTCTGGGGCACAATGGGTCAGTCTGTCAAAATTCAACGAAGTATGCCCCTAAAAATAAGCAATTAATCAGCATAATCGTCTAAAGTACGGGGGGACTTCGAATTTGAAGATTTAATATTTTTAAAATCAATGTTCAACTGAAATTGTTCAGATATTTTGACAAAACATTTTGCAAAAAAATTTGATTATTTCCTTCCTCGAATCTAAATCTGGAAATATTATTGATTCTCGAATATATTCCATATTGGGCCATGGATCGAAAGAAACCATTATATTACACAAAATATAACGCATCTTTAAGTCTCTAAGCACTTATTGTATCAAACACTGTCGAATTGTGCCCTGTAGAGCATGTCCCACTGAACCCCGGTCTATTGTTCCCCATAGGAAACAAATATTTTCAGACCATCCCACGGCAAAATTGGGAAGGCACAGCCACTCGCAAACGTTAGAAATATTTTACAGTGGACTGACGCTAAAGAATATCAGACGATGGTTTGTCTCGTTGGAAAGGCTAAACTAAAAAAAAGAAAAAACTGGAACGGTGAAATTTTTTTTTCAACCTTCCAAAACCAATTTCACCCCATAGCTTGCGCCGCTCTACCCGTCCGTTGTCCGTTCGCGGGGACGTTGTAACTCACCGAAGGGCGGATTGGAACATCGAGCCGCGGACAGGATTGCGGATATAGTATCAGTGTGATAGCTGATTTTCCACTGTGCCCCATGTCCCAACGTACCCCACCTTCCCCTACCTTTTTTCATTCTGAAACTACCGAGGGAGCTGAATGCAATAAAATAATTTTCAATTGTTCGTATTTTCCCCAGACATTGCGATTTTTTAAACAGCGATATCTTGCTTAAAAATAATCTCAAGTGCGAAAGAACAAATCAAGTTTGACAAATCGCAAAAATACGACACCAATTTATTTATAGTTGGCAGTTTATCACATATTTTATGTTATTTTAGAATAGTATTCTTTCATTTTAGTAATCCTAATAGTAATCTCGAATCAAACGTGAGTAACGATGAGCACAACTACATTATACCGACGAGACACGTCAAATGCTCCATCGGTCTTGGATTGAATATTTTACGCAACAGAAATCTCGTTATCCGTTTTTTTAATCGCGAAAAATGTTGCGCAGAAATTTCCGATTCCAATTTTGAACCATCTCCCTCTTAAGAATCCCGGCTGCGCTACTGCTCATAAATAATGTCATTTTTTAATTCCGGCCCTTTACCATATTTCGAGGCTATATTGTTGTCAGATGTTATCAAAGCTGTTATTGCTTCTTTGAACAGTTACAAAATTTTGAGTCAGTATTTTGAAGAGCAATCGAATAGCTCGCGGAGCCCCTGGGTTTCTCTCGCGGAGCCCTGGGGCTCCGTACGGAGCACTTTGAGAACCTATGGTCTAGTGAGAATGACGTCATCGGAAACACCGCGCACATTAAAATTTCAATGAACGATTATCAAAAATCTTGACCATGTTCATCATGATAAAAATATCAAAAAAGATGTAAAAAATATTCTATCCTCAAAACTGCTCACGTATACAATGAAAGATATCTAGAAAATTACAAAAAATGCAAATTTCTGCTCTGGTGATCACATTCCCCATAAGAGCTAATGTTAAAATTGTTTTTTTAAATCACTTTTCTTTTTGCGCGTAGGATGGGTTTTTAATGAATAAGGTCTATACTGGATTATTAAAAAATAATTGATGTTGATGCTATACAGCTGTTCGCATACGTTTGGGTTATTAGCAAAACAAAAAAAATACAGATGTGCTGTAATGTTCGCAAGTTTAATTTTATTATTGTTTGCTTATTTGAACTTTTTATCATATTTCCTGTAGCAACAGAAAACTTGAACAACAGATAAAGGGTGCAACAAATCACGATAAAATGAGTAGCTGCGAATTTTTATCTTCATTTATTTGTTGAGTCTGTCCGCTTCTTATCCGCTATCCATACGATTCTAAAAACAACAATGCAGTTTTTCGACAAATGGACATAAGGAAAACATCAGGATTGACTGTTCACTAGTAGGTCTACAAAGTGTGCATGATGTATCGTTTAGAGCTAATGGACAGATCATAAAATATAGATTTAACTTACGTCATTAGAATCAGTGGACAACATAGTATTGATGCCATCACAATCCATATAAATGAGTAGGAGATAGCGAGAGTTGCTGGATATAAAGTCAAAACAACAATTGGGGTGAATATCCCGATAATTCCATTGACAAAAGACAGCAAAGCAAAAACCGATCCTGAAACATGTAAATGAGTCTATACTAAACTATTCTGATATGAAAAATCTGTATTTTCATGCTGTATGCTGCTTACCTTGTTCGAATGATGATACTAGTGATGATATCCCTCCTCTCAAATATGGTGACGTTATATTACTGAACGAGCCGATACTGGTAGCTAAATATTTTTAATAATAAAGTTTACATAAATCGAAAGATTTTTGCACATGAAACATAGCCATAGTCGAGTTTATAAGAAATGATAGCTCAAAAAATTACGAAAAAAGTCTAACACAAAATCTTGCTGGAGGAAAGAAGCCCCGGGAAACAAAGCTGGTTTTGAAGCATTAACACCTAAGGTTCTAATATCAAAGTAAGGTTTGAAGAATCGGGAAATTGAATATTTTTGCAACATGGCCAACTCGATATCATTATTGAAGAGCCACGCAACCCACTAGGTTGGCCGGTTAGGGTATTCTCCATTTCACGAAAACTGCATGAAGCGATGGTGGTCGTGCAACAGAAAATATTTGACAGGATTTTGGGTAAAAGATCTTATATCTTCTCCAAATCATGTTACTTAGTAGTTGGCTGTAAAATGAACAGTAAGAGAAAGAGAATGAAGGTGAAAAAGAGCAGATACAGAAAACCAATTAGAATTCCATTAGATAATCAGATGTATATATATACCTAAATATGAAATTGGGGTAAGATTTGCAGGTTTCATAAGTTATTACTTAAACATACGTACAATTCTGCAATATATATATTAAAACATATAAATAGCTATGTATCGGAGTGGCTCTTCAAGTATAAAGTATGACCAAAAGAATATTATTGGACCTCTTGGATATTAACAAAAGCACATCATATAAAATACACCAAATCCCATATTCAATTTGAGTTTAGAAGGAAATTTGTGAAAATAATTCTTATTTTGTAATGTTTATATTCCGAGTATAATGAATATCAAAAAATGACTTTGATGAATTAGGAGTAATAACGGTATTTTCTTATATATATATAATACAAATAACTCACCAATAAATATAAGAGTAGCTTCGTTCGAGCAAAACATCAATAGCGACGTAGTAAAACGAGCGAACATTGCAGTTATCAATATTGCCTGACTTTCCATGTGAAGTACATTTTCATAAAAAATGACCAGAAATATTGAGAAAATAATGGACGAAGCGTCGAGACTCTGAATGAAAATGTTCTGTCGGTAACCGAATATGAATATCAAGGTGAAATTACAGCCTGAAACAACAAAGATTCTAATTCTAAACATTAAATATATCAAAATATTGATTTCGAACAGTTGACTAGACTTTTAAAAGCTGATTGGAATCTGATAGGGGATAACAGCGAAGATGGTGGTTTATTGCTGACGAGTAAAATGCACCAAAGAAGGTATCAGACTCAGTATATTATACATTCTGAAGGATTGCTACATCAAGTACTTGTTGGGAAGACTGATGATCCGATTCCTTACAGGTTACCAATTTGAGTGTCTTTGTATAAATCCAATGTTTGTGAATGAAGCACAACACAGTTAACCTAATGTAAGTCTTACTGTTGGAAAAGATCTTAATACAACCAAACATTCCAATCAGTTAAATAGAAAATAACACAAACATGTTTGATACAGGTAAGGAGAAATGGCATAGAAACAGGGTGGCGGAAATGGCATATCCCAATAGTCCTGTTTGGGATACAATTTGTGAAATATTCATCCAATGAATCGTAACATGCTCAAATCTGTAAAAATTGTATTTCCAAATCAAATCCCTTAATTCCGTTCAGGTTGTTTTTCTGAAACGATTGTATTCAAATTCCAAAATTTAAGGTTGGTAAAGACTATGCTAGCTGGAGATACACTCACATTCTGGGCTCCGACAAGTTCTGGAGTAAAACAAATTGGTCGAGAAATGAAGAACATCGTTCGAAAAAGTTCAATTCCGTTTACCACAAACATATACAACGCATAAGCGATGATATAGAACCACAATCTCCATACACGGCCCTTGTGTATATTTCCAGCGTGCGAACACAATTTAGTATTTCCTTTAAAAAGAAATCAATAATTATTTTTAAGTAAACCGAACTATATCAGTAAACTCGACAAGTATACCATAGTTAAATGAGAGGAACGTTTCACTATGAATAGGCAAGTTGCGTCTCACACGGTATAGAATGCTGAATATTTAGCATATATTTGTACTTCTCAAGATCTGCAGCGCAATCTCGTCGTCCAATCAATTATTATGTACGCCTTCGCCAACTTCATAAACAGGCTATAAGAACGATTGTGGTAGATAACAATTCTGACAAGCAATTATTTTACGTCATTTTATATAGTAATAAAGCTCATGTGAATTTGAATAATAATATTAGCTATATGTATTCATGTGGTCGCATACTGTTCCTAGGCATAGAATTTTTAGGAAATAGCGAAGATGATTTTTTGCCATATACTCGACTGTATTGTTATATAGTCCACACATAAAAACGAAAAATACCGATCACGTTTGAATAATGGAGACGTCGACCAACTAAATCTTAATGAATTTTTGATTATGTTATAAAAATCTATTACTAAATTCAATTTAATCTGAGTAACGCAATGTGCCCAAAGTATTACGGCGATATGGCTATGCTCTTTATAAATGCTTCCGAAGTACATGAAAATAATTAAACCGCAACAATTATGTTGTGAATATAATGAACTACAAGCCCGTTTTCCTAGTTTACGTGCTATACGAATAAGTATAAAGCAATTACCACAAATATGCTTGAATGAGATAGTATCAGAGTGCAAACTAGTATAAAATGATCTATTTTCATGAATTGAATGCTATTTGTTATCGATAGATCGTAATCCAATTTCTTCAGACAAAACATAATAATAATTATTTCAACAAACAGTGAATTATAGTTGTTATAGCAAATTTCGTTAGGAAATACAAATTGCTTACCTTGTATACAAATATGACATACGCTTTTATCACTTGAACATATTTTCCAAAAGATTTTCGTTTGTATCCAGATGCCCAACTTAGTTTTTGTTGTAGAATTTAGCTCGGGCTCTTCCTTTCTATTCGTTGTTAATAAATTGACTGAGTCTTCATTCTCATGATATTTTGAGACGATATTCGTGGATGGAAGGAATGCGAGTAAAACTAATCCAACACAACTGCAAGAAACTAGAAACAATGATGGGGGAACGAAGCCTTGATACTTGATCCAAAATCCTGTACCGAGAAGAGAAATTCCTCCGCCGAAATGTGAAAATACCTCCAATATTGAGAATAATGGTTGTTGATTTAAATGGAAAAAAATGGGTTTTAGCTTACTGAGTTGTACATACTATCTAATATATCAGGGGTGGCCAACCTGCTTTCGACCGTGATCGACTGATCGGTAATAAGGTCATGAACAAAAATGTATCAATACTGAATACCCAGATAACCTCACACACACATACAAAAATTCCACCGCTGCCAATAAGCTCGGCTCTTCGGGCGCATTCTCAATGAAATTGCCACAAACAAATTACATTTTTTATACTGTATTCAATTTGTTAATTTGATTATATAATTGTAAAAACTTTTTCTAGTAAACAGACGTTAAAATTAAATTTTTTAGAGATTTAGTAGGAAGTTTTGAGTCATTTTATCGTTATTGAAAGTCTGCGATTTCGACTCTCGGAGTTACAAATCACGTGACAAAGCGTAAACCTTGCAAATTTTCAAAGGAGAAAAATTCAACGTGTTCTATGTCCATGAATTGCTGTATTTTAATGCATTTCTACTTCTGATATGTCAGTTTTTAAAAATATAATAAGGTCTTTGATCAAAATTATAATCAGAATATCTTATGATATATTTAGGGTTGAATTTGCGTTGCGCTGTGCGAACAGAAAGTAAATGATTGACGTGAACTTCCGCGATTTTTTTAAACGATATTAATCTCCTATAAGCCTGAATGTGTTTTGCAAATGCGATACTTTGAAATCATGATGTCACCTATGAACAATACAACGGAAATTTAGTTCAAAGATAGCTGGAATTGCACAGGAAGTTTCGATAATATTGTGTGGTTCTCTTCACCATATGCTATACCAGCGGTTTCCAACCCTTTCAACATGGCCGACCGGTAAAATTGAATAAAATGTACTCGCGAATCGGCAAAAAAATGAAGTGAATGGAACATGATATAATAACATAAATTTTCGTAATAAATCCAATGACGGGCACTCACTATACTTCTAGGTAAAAAGGCACACAGAAAACATTTCAAATGAAGATAAACTAACAAATAATGTGCCGGCCAAAAATTGAAATTGGTAGAACATAAAATAATACCATAATATATTTGCGTAATAAAATGCAGCGCTGGGCACTTGTTATGCGTAAGTACGGCACACAAAAAACACCCAACATGAAAAAACATGTAGCTACATGCAAAATTATGTACAAACACAATTAACTTTAGTGAGGATCTTGCCGCTGTTTCGTTTCCAATATAAGATGCAAACGAGGCATCAAAAAAGTTTCTGCAAACGAAACTCTGCATCGGCGTTCAGCCATTTCTTTGCTTCGTTTTGATTAAAACTAAGGATGATAATAATTTGAATTGCAATGAATTGAAACAAAGTTAAAGTAGAGTTTATGTCGGTTACTCAATGTTGAATCAGGCCATGACAACTCGGGAGTTGGAAATATTGGTTAATATTGTTGTGTTAGGCAACGTGTCTTTTCCCTGCACCCCACTCCCCTTTCCTTCAAATATTTACCATAAGTCGAAACATTGCCGCATAGTTTTGGTACTATGTATTTAAACTAAATTGGTTTCGTGATAAATCAAGCAGGGCTGACATAACGTCCTTTATTTCTAAGATTTTATTTTTATTTTGAAGGTCTTTCTCTTACAAAATGTTTTTGTCCTTATGTCTGAGAAACGTCTACTACAAAGCTACTAGGCTGATGCCACTGCTACCGTTGTGAATACCGTTGTGAAAGAGCGTTTGCCAGTCAAGGTTATTCCTAAAACTTGGCAGTAGGGAAACGTGCAGTTGTTACGTAATAATATGCTCTATCGGGTTTGTCAATTCCCAATTACTGCTAAGCTGACTAAGGTTATTCAAACAAATTTTACCTTTAATACCGACTAATCATTGTCGTCGGGTCAAGGTATACATAATAAATGAAGGGATAGTATTCTGTCAATATCTTACAAAAGTTATGTGCGTATATTCTATATATATAGGATTCCGCTTAGTTTTTTGGAATTGTATTTTGTATATCGTGAGCAATAATACTTTGAGTAAAATCATTCTCAGTTTCATTTTTAACGCTTTAGACGACGCCCATTGTATTAAGGCTACTATTTTTGTAATATAGAGTTTTGTTTTTATTCCCTTATTACTACCCTACGATAAACCTTTAGTTATAAAACGATATAAAGTTTATTTCTATTTTACAGTGTTCATCCGCAATTGTGAATCATAATTGTAAGTAAATTCCCACGTCGCCTTTCCTCGATTTATTCACTGGTAGTAATGTGTAATTAGATTACTTTTCAATTATACTGTTGAAACCAGTAAAACATCATCAAAATATATTAATTACGTCAATAATTGAAAATAAAATAACAAACCTTTTCCCTCTGTTTTCTAACGACACAGTATCGGTGATATAGACGGTACACAAATCTATGAGGACGTCATAAGCACCAAACGCTCCTTCAAAAAACCCATTGATGACAATGTAAAACAGCGGAAATCTGCAAATAAACTAATTGTAAAAAAGAGTCAATGTAAGTAAGTTTACTGAAAGTTTATTTTTGAAGAATTCGCGTATTTCGTTTTTTCATCCATCATTTTGATCCAATCCAAATTTCTTAAAAGTTTAGACTAAAATATAGATGTCAATACAACGCACTTAAACTTGATTATACATGTCTGAAATGTTGAAGATATCACCATTCCCATTACAGGAAAAAGCAGAGCTTTTTTACGTCCGATCTGGTCACTTGCTGAAGTAATTACCAAAGCTGCCACGACGTTGGAGATTCGCTGAGCCACTTTTTCATACATACCCCATCTGTACAAATTATTTAATATAAAGAAAATTATCGTTGATCAATTTAAAGTCCGAACGATCTTATTTTTCACTATCTAAATTACGCTACGCGAGCCAGATTTGGTATATGACTAGTTTGAAACCAATAATATATATGTTGACTGTCGTTTTTATTCGACCAACTAGGTTAAGAGTACCAGCTTGCATAATTTTTAAAATGTGGGACAATCAAGCACGAATTGGTCGAAGCAAACGTTTACGTTTTACAAAAAAGAAAAGACTGAGATAGGATTAGGTCGATTAACAATTGCTAGTAAGTGAGTAATGTCTTTGAAACTTCACATAACCGAATACATTTGTATCTTTGGGAGAACATGCTAGGGAAAACTCAAATAGGCAATCGGATAAGATGACGTAATCTGCCCCATATAATTCGGTATTACTGGTATCTCTGAATAACTTCCAAATCTACTTTGAGAATGCACATCATTTTTATATGGAGAAATTATTACTACAGTTTTCAAGAATTACTAATTGGAAATTGGACATTAAGAATCGGAACCTTCGCGTAAATATTTTGAAAGCCGATGCGAACACTTTGGAGCTTTAACTCGTAAAATATCAAAGATATCATTTCAGTATACTCTGACTAGTACAATTTAAAAAAGTTGTGGCATTCGAAACTTGCCTTGATGTTTCTTCCGCTACAGTTCTTCTTACTCCTGACTGTGTAAAGTTGTCAGCGCAGTAATTCAATGAATGATCTGTGGTGAAATTGTTCTTTTCCGAAACGACCTGCGTTGAAAGTAATTACAGATTGCGCTTAGATCATATATATCGTGTATTCGTTGCAGGCATGTTGGTTTACAGAGGTGCATTCATCGATACTTAAAAAAATTAGAGAAAACGATGAAATGCCCATTTTTATTTAAACATAAGAAATAACCTACATACCTGATAAATGAATTCATTCAAAATTGTGCGCGAAGAGTATATTGTACAGCAAACAAAAAATGCAATTAGTTCAACATGAGGACATCGTAACTTTGCCATTAAGGCTATGGAAGGAAACCCTACACGCTATGTTATTACACATAAAACTAGTAACCTTAATTTGTCCCACTCCTATTATGAAATTATGCAGCCGATATGAAACAAAAGTGTAATTCAAATGTATATACTGACAGTAGGAATGGATGTGTGGTCTAAATCGTAGATAGTAGGTCGGGGGAAGTCGGACCCACTAATAAGTTATTTTGAATAACTCTTCAAATAATGTCGCAGCTGCATTCGTTCTACGATTGATTCATGCACCCACCCTCCAGCTATCTTGCCACATTTGCACATTGTTGCCATAGCAACGAATCGGAATTTACGCCCGATTTTCAGCTAAAAAAATATCGGGGTAAGTTAGACACTTTGTGGGAAAGACGGACACACACCAAATTAACTTGATGGTGTCTAAGATTTTCGGTCATAAGACTTCGATCAACGCCTAGATGGCCCAGGATTATGTCTCTTAAATTTTTTTTAAACAGATCACTTTTCTTGCATATTAAAAAGTATGTCCGTCTTACCCCATAAAGGACATAACAGGGCAATTTTCAAAGAGTTTGAACAGTTTTAGGAAAACTAGAAATTTAAAATTTAGTTTGCGCTTTTTCAACTGCAATTTTTCTATCTTCTTTACACGGACTACATCTAGAAGTATTTATTTTGTAATTTCTTGGCATAACCTTGGGCGTATTTTATACGCATATGAAAAAAATAATTTGACGGGGTAAGATGAAATTTTACGCCGGGCTTAACTTCTAAGAGATCCAATATAAATATGGCGATGGGTGTGCTTTTGATCTTTGTTGTAAAGGGTACTTAGTACAAAAAATAATTATTTATAAGTTTCGATGACGACGGCCCATTGACATTCCCAACAGACTATATTGAAAAAATCCTCCCCCTCCCCCACTCAAAATTCAACCTACCTCTTAAGTGACCCTGCCAGCCCAAAAATGAGTACTGGCAGTTTGCTTAAGAATTTATTCGATCTAATGCAACTACTTTCAACAAATAAACAAATAGAACCGAGTTCGCAGACTTTTCCGGCTAAAATTATTCTTCGCCACCATGGGACTCTATAATTTGACGTTTTTCTGTCCCAACAGAAACACCCCTTCCCCAAAAAGCACCGCCTTGTAAGTTGTCGAGCCTGAAATGTAAAATCTTGGTTCTGTCGTTGTTCGCATGATGTCGCTCTTTCACGCGATGCGTTTTGAGCGACGAAAAAGCGCGAGGTGTCGCTAGTAGGAGGATTTTATTTTGACTGACCATCATACCCCGGGTGTCCGAACTACCCCGACCTACTATACCTGATAAATGAATTCATTCAAAATTGTGCGCGAAGAGTATATTGTACAGCAAACAAAAAATGCAATTAGTTCAACATGAGGACATCGTAACTTTGCCATTAAGGCTATGGAAGGAAACCCTACACGCTATGTTATTACACATAAAACTAGTAACCTTAATTTGTCCCACTCCTATTATGAAATTATGCAGCCGATATGAAACAAAAGTGTAATTCAAATGTATATACTGACAGTAGGAATGGATGTGTGGTCTAAATCGTAGATGGAATGGGGCTTATTGTGCTGTTTTATAAACAGGATGGTTTGGTTTGGTTTTTGGTTTGGTTTTGATTTTTATATGTACAGTAATCATATTCCAATACAGCAATTGGGTCTATAAAACATAAGGTCCTAATAATACTCATATCGTATCGTTCCCAATTCGCCGCTTACTTGATAAATATAAGCTAGGTAGCTGCAACGCAATTTGTAACTCTATTTAATGAATATATTCTCTATGCACTTGTATTATTATTGTGTATCAACATGATATTCCGGACAAGTGACGCTCAAAAAAATCTACTTGTGTTGCACGGATCTCCTGCAAAAAATTTCCTCAATTCATTCTAAAACCGTTGTTTATTGAATAAACAGCTTTTTACTGACTTCATCTCGCTTATCACGAACTTAGGTGTCGCTTTGTTTTGAAGCAATTCCCACAGTGTTTGACACGAGCGGGAAGTATTCCTGTTATTGACGCGAATCACAAATTAAACTGACCTTATTTTCAAAAATCAACAAACCTGTTAAATCTAATTTTTATCTCTTTTGTGCTCGTCCATGTTATATTTTTAATCTCATAGCCTCATAACTGGTCGTTGGTGGAAATATAAAACATCCCTTAAATAACTGATGGATTTTTCGTTATGTTGTAGTTTTATATATCATGTCATATATCAGTATCTCAGCTATGTGATTTATGGGAAGATGGAAACTTGCATTAAACTCAGTTCAACTCTGCTTGGAATCATTGGTTTTTCGTGGTCTCGATCTAACGGCGTCTTATCTGAGTGCTAGAATAAAAAAAACGATCGATACAGTTATGTTTTTCCAAATTACATTCTATGAAGATTCACCAATAACAAGTGGGGGCAATTTTACTATTTAGTCTGGATCAAATTCTGGCACTCGGGCCGCAGAACAATTTAGTTTTTGCCGTGTATTAAAGCAGTGGTTCCCAACCTTTTTACCCTGGCGGACCGGCAAAATTAAATTAAATGTACTCGCGGACCGGCAAAAATTGGAATATCAGGAACAGAAAAAAATATCATATATGTGCTTTATATAATGCAATATCGGGCACTCATTATGCTTTTAGACAAAAAAAGGCACACTTGAAAACATTTCAAACGAAGAAAAACTATCAAATATTGAGCCGACCAAAAATTAAAATAGGTGAAACATAAATAAATACGATATATTTTGCGTAATGAAATGCAGTGTTGGGCATCCATTAAGCGTAACGAAGGCATACACAAAATATCTCACATAAAAAAACATGTACATGTCAAAATCATGTAAAAAACACAATTAAACTCTAGTGAGAATTTTGCTGTTGTTTCGTTTTTAATATAGGATTGAAAACGAGGCCTCAAAGAAGTTTCTGCAACACGCGCTCTGCAGCTGCGTGTAGCCAATTTCTTTGCTTCGTTTTAATTAAAGCTAGGGATGAAAATGTTTTTCGCATAAGTTAACTGGTTGAAAAATACGGAGAATAATTTGATTGCTCTATTACTTGGCGATATACACATATGCTCATTGGTATTCGTTATCAAGAAGATATCCAAAATTGTGAAAGTGACTCATTTGTAACTCTGGACTGTAAAGTAGAATCCCAATTTTAATCCAGGGGAAGGTCGCTACGCTACCCGCGAGGGAAATGTAGGAAAAGATTTGAGTATAAAAAAGCGGATGTTAATAATGAATTTGATGGTTGCACCGGGGTCGTTGCGCCGGACGAATGGCGGAAATTCGTCCGGCGCACTGCGCCCCAGCCACTTTAGTCCATTAAGTAGTTTAAATAATACGTCATAAACTGATCACTCTTAATGGAAATCGATTTCTATCAAATTTTAGGGTCCGTGTTCACTCAACCGTGACGAAATTTTTTGTCATTATCTTCACTTTATATACCTTGTATGGCCCAAATATTACATCCCCATCTATTACCATTCTCGAGAAAAGACCTAAAATCACTGGAGCGTGACTGACATGTGGGAGAAAAAAAATTCTACCTAAAACTGATTCGAATGATTTTCCGATCATGCCCATCGCCTTCAGATTCTTGATAAGACCTCTCTGAAGCCGGCTAAAGGCCAAAATCACTAGACCGTGACGGAGGCATGGGACGAAAAAAATTCCTCGAAAAAACTATTAAACTAATTTTTCTCAACCTACCTATGTATTTTTTTCTCTCAATATCTCAAATCTTAAGCGCAACATTCCGAACTCACTGGACCGTTACGGGGAAGGGGAATCCCCAAAGTTCGGGTGGTAATATGTTCTATTAATTAGTCCCTTAGATATTATGCATCACTTTGCCCGAAAACCGATTCCAAGTGCTCCTAATCGCCCAAAAACCATATTTACCCAAGTGGGCGTGGCTTTTTACACGTTTTTTTTGGCCACTGGGGGGGCGGGGGCATTTCCCCCCACCCCCAAACACGTTCGGAAAAATTCCCAATGCCACGGGCCAAACCGTTTCCGCGGCCCGGAAACGCTCGCTAAACGGCTTCCTAAAGCCCCAATCACTCGATGCGTAGACTTGACTGACAGCCTGATTGACCAATTCAGAAGCCTCGGGCCTACTAAAAATGCCGTTTTGGCCCACCTTGCTCTGGCCCGATCGTTCTGAAAATTTTCTGTTGGCATTTGCCCCCGTCCCCCATCTTTTGGATTCACCGACCCCGCTTGTCTCTAGGACTTGCGGTTCTCTCTAACATACCTTTTGAATATGCGTTACCTTATTAACAACCCAATCTTCCTGGCCGCCGGCACCTGGTTTCTGTGGCAGCTATCGCTGCATATGTAAAAGACGGGGCGGAACAGCATCCAGAAGAAAACGTCTGCCTGCGGCACACGACGAGGGGGGCCGCGGGCGCACAAACGGTCGGTTGGGACCATGACGGTTGTGTCTACGACGCTCGGGCCGCCATCCGTTGCGTCGGACGGATCGCGGCGTGATCCGACCGACGCCATTGGCGCCCCCTGACATAGACAGTTTTATCCGTATGGACGGTTAATACCAAAATAGGTCGCATTGTCGAAAATTCTAACTTTCCTGATTGAAATATCGACATTGCGACAATTTTGTAGCAATGTCGAAATTTCCGTCCAAGAATGTCGCAATGTCAATTTTTCATACCAGATTAGGGTTGTTATGCTAATTATATAGTTTGTCGCAATGTCGATTTTTAGTTGTTGAATTTTCGACAGTGCGACAAAAAAGGATTAGGGTTGTTATGCTAATTAGATAGTTTGTCGCAATGTCGATTTTTAGTTTTTGAATTTTAGTCTGTTTTCATCGATTTTAAGGTCCGTGATCACTCGACCGTGACGAAATTTTATAGGCATAAACTACACTCCAACTACCTTCTATAACCCAAATACGAGACCCCTATCTATTACCGTTCTCGAGATATGGCCTAAAATCACTGGACCGTGACTGAAGCATACTAGAAAAAAAATTTTGCTGATACGTGATTGGAATAATTTTTCTGATCATGCCCATGCCTTTAGATTCTCGATAAAACCTTTCATAAGCCGGCAAAAGGCCAAAA